AAAAACTATGTGACATATCACGAGTGAGTAACATCTTATTTCAGAGAGAGATGACGACAGAAGTCAGCAAGGGATGAGAGGTCGACCGATTACTCGAAATACAAACAACACAGAAGAGGCTTCTAAATTAGAACATGGTGCGACGTCCACTGAGTCGGAGCATGGTGCGACTAGAACCGCTTTCTCAATCTCGATCTCTGTTCACTGACCCGTATTGTGTTTTTATGCTACGAGCGACCGAGGATTCGAAACACAGAAGCGGTCCTTGAAAAGGAGAGTGATGCAACTGCAACAGGTGCCTACAGTTTTACGAATTAAGTGTTGTTTTTTGCTATTGCAAATGAATCTCCAACACTTTCATTGGTCATCCAGGTCGTTTTTGGGACCGAAAGTTACAATTTGCTTTTTCTTCTTCTTTGTGAGCAGTTCCTCTTTTTTCTATATCATTTATCTGGACAACTGACACTGAAAATGGGAAAATAGAAAAATGAGATCCTCAGTTTCTTTATCTCAATTTGTTCAGGTTTTCTTTGTGCTGTGAACTTTGGTATATCGTTGTGCTGCCGTTAGTATTTTATTTCAGGCAATGCACAAGGAATTGATTCACATAGGCGACGAGGCCGACCGAGGGTGCGCCCCAGTGGTTTCGAGCGTCAAACTAGACGTGGAGGAGAATCATCTTCAGGAAGGGCTGCTCGCTTATAGGCAGATGTCTTACATCATCGACAGAGACGACGTAGTGAAAGAAGTGAGGAGATGGCTGAACGACAACGAGATGACGCAGAGCGCCAAAGTCGAAGACGAGCTGAGGAAAGCGAGGGAGCGGGCTGAACGGCAACGAGATGATGCACAACGGCAGCGAGAGAGACGTGTAGATGAGAGCTCTGAGGACAGACGCGCCCGTCATACAAGCGACGCTGATCGTCACCGGAGGCTGCGCAATCCTCCTTCTTTAACGCTTGGGATAGCTCTGAGAAGTCGTTTCGTGGAACCGAATATCTCCGTTGCTTAGACCGAAGATGCGATTTCCTGCGGCGCACGCCATTTCTTCTGTGAGGTTAAGCAACGACATCCACATCAGTTTCCATCAATGCTGCGATTTGGGTCGTATTCATCTGAACTTTTTTGAGAACTTCTCAGATAGGCTACGCATTGCTGTTTGTTCGATGATACTATAAAGCGTGAGGAGTCATTGCCGAATGCAGAGCTGCTAGTATAGAAATAGTAAAAGCGTTTCCGCTCTCGCAATGGCTTCAATGGGAGCCCAAGTAGACACGGTCAGAGGCCGTGGCCCCTACTGTTACAAAATACATGGGCAAATTTACCACCGGATAGGCCCTCTTCATCCCGTTGAAGGACAGCTACGTCAGTATGGCCAGATTGTATTATCCTTCGACAGGAGATGGTCTGCACTGAGCAACTCCTTCGAATCAAAGAAATGTTCGGCTGCTGATCAGCGTTAATGCATCTTCTCAGTGAGTTGTTGCCAAGCATCAACTTTTACGCTCAATCCTTCAAGATGATGAGAGAAGTTGGAGAGGCGGAGCTCGCAGCGGCTGCTCAGGAAAACCGCACTCCTCTTCAAATCAGGATGGTTTTCGATGAGACCATCGAGAGGGGACTGCCGTCAGTACGACTTACCAACTGCGAACGAAGTTGCTGTTGTTTATGTCGGTGAAAATGACGATATACCTGCTACAAGGAGTTTCGCTGTACATCTTCGAGGCGTCCCAGGAGAGCAGCTTCTCAATATTCGCGACATAGACAAAATATAAGATCCGCTTACGTACCCCCTCCTGTTTCCGACTGGTGAAGGCGGCTGGGATCCAACCTTGACTAGCAACGTTGGGCGTTGTGCCACTCAAAAGGATTATTATTCATATCTGTTATCGATACGAGACGGGTTTAACCCCGTCCTGCATGCTGGAAAGCTCTTCAGCAGTTTGCTGTCGACGCATACGTCAAGATCGAGCAAGAATCGCCTCAATTTCCAGAGGCGAAACCAACTAAGACTGCGAGCTGATTCATATAGGGGTCTTCACGACTATCTCGCAAACGAGGACAACTCTGGGCCACCGGATAACCGAGTAATTTTGTCATCATCCCATCTCGGCAGTCCGCGCTCCATGCAGCAGTCGTACGAAGATGCAATGGCCATAGTTGCACGTTATGGGAAACCACCTATTTTTTGACCATGACGTGTAACCCCAAATGGAAGGAGATTGCAGAGAATCTTTCCAACGGCCAAACTGCATCTGACCGTCCCGACTTGGTGGCACGGGTTTTCAACGCTAAAGTGGAAGAGCTCTGTTCAGATCTTTTCAGAAAACACATCCTTGGAGAAGTTCAAGCAAGTGTGCACGTGATTGAATTTCAGAAGAGGGGTCTCCCACACTGTCACATGCTTCTTATAATGAAAGACGAATGGAAAGTGCGGACAGGAGACGAGGTTGATAGGTCGATCTGTGCAGAAGTCCCAAATCCTACTGAAGAACCTCAACTTCACATGGCTGTGGCCTCTTATATGATACACAGGCGGTGCGGTCACCGAGACTCTCCCTGCATGCGGAATGGGTCCTGTTCGAAGAAATCCCGAAAAAACTACGAGAAAGGACCACGGTGGATGTGGACGGATACCCTAACTATCGACGCCGCAACTTCTTTTGTATAGAAATCGACGGCGCTCGGTATGACGACCGTCGTGCGCGAATCCGTACCTTCTGTTAAAATACGACTGTCACATAAACTTGGAAATTTGTGGCATGATATCAGCCGTAAAGTATCTTTATAAGTACGTATATAAAGGACCAGATCGTGCTCGAATTAACATCGAGAGCAATCGCGCAGAAGATGACCATGCAGGTGTCGACGAAATTAGGAAGCATTTGAAGCACACGTTATGCGTGCGCGCCAGAGAGCATGTACAGGATTTTTGGTTTCAAAGTACAAGAGAAATCGCATACGGTGTGCAGGACTAGCTGTCCACCTGCCCGACTTTCAGACGGTGCGTTTTATGCAGGGACAGAAGCAGCAGTACTTCGATCAGGCTGCCATTCCTTCTTTACTCTTACGGCATACTTTGAGCTCAATAGGCTGCATGCTGGTGAGAACGTACCTTCTGAGTCCGTGGTCGACCCACGACAGCTATACTACTATCAAATCCCTGAACATTTCACTTTCAAGCAGCGCAGCGGTTGGTCACCGAGGAAACACGCTGGAAGGCTTATTGGACGGATGTACACCGTTTCGCCTCGCGACCATGAGCGCTTTTGCCTCAGGATTCTTCTTCTAAATACGGAGGGCAAGAATTCATTTGAAGACTTGCGCACCGTGGACGGCGTATTGTTGGAATTCCTTTGCAGAGGCTGCCAAACGTGGAGGCTTCCTTGATGATGACCAATATTTTCGGCAAAGTTTAGAGGGGGCCGTTCAGTATCAAACAGCATTATGCTTAAGGAGCTTTTCTGCCTGTTTGCTTTGCTTTTCCGAGGTCGTTCAGGCGCAGGATCTTCTTCATCTTCTTCTCCTTCTTCTTCTTCAGCGTTTGTCCGCTTGATCGCGGGGTGTCCGCTCTTTTGATACAACTACGCCACTTTTCCCGATTGGATGCCTGATCAGGGTGGATGCCGGCTATTTTCAAGTCGGTATGCAACGTGTCGAGCCAGCGCTGTTTGGGACGTCCCTTTGGCCGCTTTCCTGGTACCTCGAGTTCGAGAGCAGTTTTCCGGACGGTATCAGCCTTTGCGCGAAGTACGTGCCCATACCATCGAAGGCGCGTTTCACGCATTTTCTCCGTTATGGGGGCTACACCATACTTCTTACGCATGACATCATTACAGATGCGGTGACGCCCGCCGTCCAGCGCAACATCTTCATCTCCATCACACCAAGGCGAGCCTCAACTTCTTTGGTCGCGGGCCAGCACTCGGCACCATATAACGCGACAGGTCGGACGACAGTACGATAGATCTTTGATTTGAACCGCTCTGGCATTTTCTTGTCGCGAAGGATCCCGGACATGGATCGCCACTTAGACCACGCCGGCACTCACTCGTGCGCTCACTTCCGAGTTCAGACTGCCGTCGGACGCAAGTGCTGATCCGAGATACTCCCGCTCATTTGGGTCGGTTGTCAGGTACTCGGTTTTGTTGACGTTCAACCTGAGTCCAAACTTCGCCAGACGCTCGGCCCAAGCTTGCAGAAAACCAGCGTTGTGACTTCCACAAATCAGCTGCTATGTCGTCGGGGCCTGTAACTTTGCCGGACTTCATCTTCCTCAGAGCAGCTTCTGTTTCCTGTACGGTGATCTTCTGAACGGGACCATATGTTGGTGCTGTGCAGGGTAGAGCGGGATGGGCGAATTCCTACCGTTGAGATGCCCTCGAAATATTCACGCCATCGTTGTAATACCCTTTTTCGGTCCATCAGAAGGTGGCCATTCTCATCATTTATGCCAAAAAACTTCTCAATGTCTTCGGTTTGGCGATGACGAGATTTGGCAAGTCCATACAGGTACCGCTCACCGTCGCGCGTCTCCAGCTTCTTGCTGATATCATCGAAGTGAGCGGCCTTCGCAGCAGCCACGGCCGTCTTTGCCACATTCCTCGCTTCCCGATACTGCCGCCAGTTGTCAGCCGACTTGTGCTCGAGAAACGCGTGATAGAGCCTCTTCTTTTCTCGAACCTTCGCTTTGACGTCGTCCGTCCAGAGCCATGCCTCTTTGTCGATCCTCCGCCTTCCAGGCTTCGTTGTGCCGAGTTCGGAGCGGGCGGCCTGGATTATAGAGTTAACGGCTTCGTTCCAGGTCTCCTGAACAGTTGTGACTTCAGGTAGTCGAATACGAGAAATCACAGCTGCCTCCCGCTCCTTGAGTCGCCACCACTTTATTCTTTCAGGACCGCATCGTTCTGCCTGCCTCGATCTGGGAGCTACAAGTCTGAGCGTGCAGATCAGTGGGCGGTGCTGCGTGGCAACCGTTTCATACGGTACTACCTTAGCGTCTGTCACGAGTCCTTGGTCGCCATGCCTGATGAGTACGAAGTCTATTTGTGTCTTGGTACTCCCGCTGTAGAACGTGATAAGATGAGAGTCACGTTTACGAAACCTTGTGTTCAGAATGACGAGGTTATGCGACTCTGCATACTCAAGGACTCGCTCACCATCGGCGTTCCGTGAACCGTAACCGAATCCGCCATGACAAGCATAGCCGTCTTTTGCAGCGCCCACGTGTCCGTTTAGATCGCCGGCTACAATGATACCGTCTTTTGGTGGCACTTCAGCCGTCTTCTCGTCCAGCAGAGCCCAGAATTCGTCCTTGGACTGCTCAGAGCATCCAGTTTGTGGGGCATATGCAGAGAAGAAGTGGTAAAGTCGTTGTTCAATAGCGACAACAATCTTCATTAAACGGTCGTCGAAACGATCTACGCTCACAATCGTATCGCGAAATCGCTGTGACACGATCACGGCCACACCACTTGTAGTTTTCGGCCCGCCACAAAGAACGGCTTTGAAGCCGCGGCCTAACTCTTTCGACTTGCAGCCAGCCCATCTCGTCTCTTGCACGGCACAGAGGTCGATCTTTCTACGCTCTAGGGCTTCTGCTAACTCATACGAGCGTCCAGTCAGCGTCCCTACATTCAGCGTCGCAATACGAGCCTTCAACACATTGCACGTCTTTCGGACTAGCCTGGTTGCCCCCGATGCCGTCCTTGCAACGAGGACCCTCGCATACTTTCCACACTCGCCGGGCCATACGAGTGCGCGTCGGCTCCCGCGGACGCCGTAGCATTATCTCGAATTCATAAGGCATAGTTGAACATGATGATGTGACATGGGGTGTTCGTAAGCCGGCCCGTCACGAAGGCCTGTCGCCTGCTTTCGAGTTCGTCCGTGTTCTGCTCAGCCCGCAAAAGCGAGCAGGTCCCGGTGGCACCACTTGGAGGAACGGACGTCACCACCGTTCAGGATCAGGATTTGTGGAACGAATTCTCTAGTGCAATGTCAGACGACTTC